GGGGAAAAAAGTGGAGGGGAAGGGAGGGAAAAAAATGGGGAAAAAAAACAAAAATAAAGGAAATAATAATAATAATAAGGTGAAGCCGAAATTAAAAAATATATATATATAGCTCTGGCCTTCGTGTGTGGTCACCGGGCCCTCGAGGGGGGGGCTGCGGTCCCAGGAGAGAGGAGCTCTTGGGGGGGGGTTTAGTGCTGGAGGTGACGAGGGAGGTGGCCCCTCGTTGGGGTGACGGGAGGTTGCCCCGGCGTCGTCTCTGCTGGCCCCCCGTGGTGGCCCCGCCGTCGCCGCATTGGGTAGCCCCCCCCTCCTTTGGGTTGGGTGTCACCCCCCCACCGGCCTCAGAAGCCGTTGCCGCTGATGTTGATGGACTGAAGGTCGGCCACTTGCATGACGTTGATGCCGCTGCTGGCCAAGCGGGCGATGCCCTCCGGGCAGATGGCTTCCATGGCCACCATGTTGGTAGCGATGAGGGCCGAGGGGGTGGCCCCGCCGTTCCCTTCCGCCGAAGCCCCAGTGTCCATGGGGACGGCGGAGACGTTCATGGCCACGTTGTTGGCCGGGCCTCCCTTCTTGTTCTGGTGGGTCTTGATGTGCTTGGAGAGGTGGTCGCTCCTCATGAAGCGTTTGGGACACTCCGGGCAGGCGAACTTCTTCTCCCCTGGAAAAAGGGATGGAGAGAGGGGTGAGATGGTGGAAGAAGAAGGTGGGATGGATCTACTGAGGGAGATGGAGTCCACCCTCAGTTGGCAGAGGACACCGGGTTGGGTGGGATGTTGATCTGCTGGAGGGTGGGAAGGCCCTACAGAGGGGTCTGGACAGGCTGGATCCATGGGATGAGGCCAAGGGTGTGAGGTTCAACCAGGCCAACTGTCCCACCAAACCCGTGGACACTCCAGGCTGGAAAAGGACCTACTGAGGGAGCTGGATCCATGGGATGAGGCCAAGGGTGTGAGGTTCAACCAGGCCAAGTGTCCCACCAAACCCATGGACACTCCAGGCTGGAAAAGGACCTGAGGGTATTGGTCACCAACCGGCTGAAGATGAGCCAACAGTGCGCCCAGGTGGCCAAGAAGGCCACCAACATCCTGGCCTGTGTCAGGAAGAGTGTGGCCAGCAGGACTGGGGCAGTGACGGTCTCCCTGGACTGGGCACTGGAGAGGCCCCACCTCGAGGGCTGGGTCCAGTTTTGGGCCCCTCACAACAAAAAAAAGCACATTGAGGAGCTGGAGCGAGTCCAGAAAAGGGCGACGGAGCTGGTGAGGGGTCTGGAGAAGAAGGAGAAGGGGCTGGAGAAGAAGGAGAAGGGGCTGGAGAACCAAGGAGAAAGGTCTGGAGAACTTGTGAGGAGCGGTTGACGGAGCCTCGGGGGGTTCAGCCTGGAGAAAAGGGGATTGAGGGGAGACCTTCTTGCTCTCTCCAACTCCCTGAAAGGAGGGTGGAGCCAGGGGGGGTTGGTCTCTTCTCCCAAGGAACAAGAGGAAACGGCCTCAAGTTGGTCCAGGGGAGGTTTAGGATAGATATGGGGAAGAATTTCTTCACCGAAAGGGTCATCAACCATTGGAAGAGGCTGCCCAGGGAAGGGGTGGAGTCACCATAGAATGGTTTGGGTTGGAATGGACCTTGAAGACCATCGAGTCCCACCCCCTGCCCTGGGCAGGGACACCTCCCACCAGCCCAGGTTGCTCCAAGCCCCCTCCAACCTGGCCTTGAACCCCTCCAGGGATGGGGCAGACACAGCTTCTCTGGGCAACCTGGGCCAGGCTCTCACCACCCTCACACCAAACAAGTTCTTCCCCACATCTCAGCTCCATCTCCCATTTTTTGGTTGAAAACCCTTCCCCCTCGTCCTATGGCTCCACTCCCCAAATTCCTGGAGGGATCTAAAAGCTGGTGCTGAGGGTCATGGGGCAGTGGTGGGTTGATGGTTGGTCTTGATGATCTTCAAGGTCTCTTCCAACCCAGGGAAGTGGTGGAATGACCATAGAATCATGGAATGGTTGGGGTTGGTAGGGACCTTAAAGATGATCCAGTTCCATCCCTTCTAGTGGAAGGGCCACCTCCCACCAGCCCAGGTTGCCCAAAGCCCCATCCAACTTTGCCTTGAACCTTCAGGGACGGAGCATCCACAGCTTCTCTGGGCAACCTGGGCTGGTGTCTCCTCACCCTCAGAGCAACAAAATCCTCCCAAACTGACAAGGAGGGTGGTGGGTGCTGGTGGGACCCTCACGCTGTGTCCTACCTGTGTGCGTGCGCTTGTGCCGCTGGAGCTCGTCGGAGCGGGTGAAGCGTTTGCCGCAGAGCAACCAGGTACAGATGAAGGGTCTCTCCCCCGTGTGCCACCGGAGGTGGGCTCTCAGGTGAGAGGTTTTGCCGTAGACCTTCCCGCAGCCCGGGATGTGGCAGATGTGCTGCTTCTTCTTCCCTGGATCCGCGGAGCTCCTTGAGAAAAGATCAGAAGAGAAAAGCATCCTCGTGGGTGAACTGAGGAAGAGTGGGTGGGATGAGAGGACGGTGGGGATGGAGAACCGGCTCAAAGACAGAGCTCAGAGGGTCATGACCAGTGGCCCAGGGTCCAGTTGGAGGTCCCCAACAAGTGGTGGTCCCCAGGGGTCAGTACTGGGTCAAGTCCTGTCCCATATATTCATCAAGGACCTGGAGGAGGGGACAGAGTGTCCCCACAGCATGTTTTGCTGGTGACACAAAGTTGGTTGGTGATGCCCCAGAAGGTTGGGCCACCATCCAGAGGGACCTGGCCAGGCTGGAGAGTTGGAGCCAGAGGAACCTGATGAAGTTCTACCAGGGCAAGTGTAGGGTGCTGCACCTGGGGAGGAATCACCCCCCAAAACCAGTAGAGGTTGGGGGTGACCTGCTGGAAACCAACTCTGAGAGGGAACTGGGAGTCCTGGGGGACAACAGGTTGCCCACAGGCCAGCAATGTGTGCCCAAGAAGGCCCATGGTCTCCTGGGGTGGAGGAAGGTCATCCCCCACCTCTGCTCTGCCCCGGGGAGGCCCAGGTGGAGACTGGGACCAGTTCTGGGCTCCCCAGTTCAAGAGGGACTGGGAACTGCTGGAGAGAGTCCAGAGGAGGATGATGAAGATGATGAGGGGCTGGAGGATCTCTCTGCTGGGGAAAGGCTGAGGGACCTGGGGCTGTTCAGCTGGAGAAGAGAAGGCTGAGGGGGGGGGTCTCATCAGCAGTATCTGAGGGATCGGGGGGCAAGAGGATGGGGCCAGACTCTTCCCAGTGGTGCCCAGTGACCGGAGAAGGGGCAACGGGCACAAACTGGGACATGGGAAGTTCCATCTCAACACGAGGAGGAACTTCTTTCCCATGAGGGTGGAAGAGGCTGCCCAGAGAGGGTGGGGGGTCTCCTGCTCCGGAGAGATTCCTAACCCCCCCTGGATGAATCCAACCTGCTCTGGGTGACCCTGCTCTGACCGGGGGTTGAGGGAGATATCTCCAGAGGTCCATTCCCATCCCGTAGCCTTCTGTGATTCCATAAAGAGTTAAAACCACGCGGGATGGAGGAAAGGGCCAAAAAAGGGGGTGGTTTTGGGGTTTCTCCCCCAGGTTTGGAGGACGCTGGGGGTCCAGCCCTACCTCCCTTCGCTGTCTTTGCAGTAGGGGCAGGTACAGGCTTCCCTCCGGGTTTTCCGTCCCTGCTGGGGTTGGGGGTCCGGGCTGGTCTCTCCTTCCTCCACCGCCGCGTTCTCGTCCCCCAGCCCGTCCCCGCTGGCCCCGTGAAGTCCCAGCTGAGCCCCGTGGTCACCTGGAAGGAAAAAGCAGTTTCTAGAGGTTTTTCCATCAAAAAAAGCAT